TATATATATATGTATTAAAAACTTAAGATTATTTATAAAAAAAACATATAATTATATTCCTTGTATAGATAGAATATAAAATTGTTTGTAACTTTGAAGGATACAAAAAAATAAAAAGAATTTTTATCAAAATTGGACTCGTATTTTTCATATAATATTTTCATTCATTTTTGCTTTTTTTCCTCAACTTATATGTACAAATCTTTGACAAAACAAATTAGCAACAGATATTTACGAACGATCTAATGCTCTTTAAGCGTAAATACTGCAGAAAACTGTACAATAAATATGAATGAGTACATTAAATACAATCTTTGGTATCACAAATTGTAAATACAAGTATTCAAATGGAATTTTTTTTAACTTAATTCAAGTAATTACAAATTGTCTTACCGTTAAATTTACGAAATGTTTATTACAGATTATTATTAATAATAACATGAATTATTTTCGTATAATTGATGTTTATAATTTGATGTATTTATATTATATATTTTTTTGTTAATTAAATGTATTAGAAAATGTCATAAAGAAACTATAACTGCATTTTTGTTATTGAATAAATTATAGCTATTAGAATGTTTAAAAATATTTCTTAATATTATCATTCGATAAAATGCAAAAGACAGTCATAAAATGAGATTATGTTAACATAATATTATTGGCTTGTATATTAGTATATGTATAAATAAATTACACGTCGTATATTTATACATTATGACTTCAACAAGAAATAATATGTAAAAACAATATCTCATTAGTTTTCTTGTCTCATGCAAGAAAAAATAAAAATATAAGTATAATTGGCAGAACCTAATTGACAAAATGAGATTTGTTCAAAAAAATGTTGAATATTCTTATCTATTTTACAATTATTTCTCACCTAGTTTAATGCGCATTGACAATTTCCTATAGTTGGATATAAGAAATATGTTTCAATCAATATCGTATTGTTATTAACTTTACAAAAAAATAAGTATAATAAATAAACAGTTGTTGGGTATAAATCTCACAATACTCAACATAATTTTCACTAATATATCCATTTTTACTACAAATAGAGACAATCATATAAAATTTAGAAAACCACAAGTATTACTAGGCTCGATGATATTCTAATTACGCAATGGTAATTAAATTGAATCTTATCTTCCATCGAATAATAAATTTGGTGCAGAAAAATAATGAAATTAAATAAAAGAATATAGTCGTCTACTTTTTAGCTATCTGATTATCAACGAAGTCCATATAATTAGAACCAACTTTGATAACTAGCAATCCTGAACCAATACCAACTAAAGTGCACAGAGTTGGATTTGGTGGTACAATGGATCGTAGAACAGCCCACATCAAAACTGAACCAAAAGTCAGCAACAACGCTCCAGTACCACTATTAAGTACAATATGACCATTAGTGTGTTTACAGTTTGTATCAATAAATTTAAACAATTAAGACGTTCTTACCTATATAACAATCTTTGACTAGTTTCAGCTTTTACCATGTGCTCTCTGGTATAAAAGTATGAACCAGTACCTGCTAGTGCACTAAAGAGTAAGACGTTTGTGATATCTCTCTTTGGAAATATTCTGCAAGTACGTACAAAAGATGGTTAAAGTAATTAGCGTACATAATGAAACATTACACGATGCATTGTTTTAAAATGACAATGTATATAATGTATAGACACATGTAGATGTAGACATTCTATCTAAAAGATATAAATGCGAGAAGTATGAAATTTATTTAAGAAGTCAAATACGATAAATGATAATTCAGCAATGCTTATATATATATATATATATATATGCATAAGTTATTCTAATTACAAATAATAAAAATAGTGACTACTTTGAATAGAGTATTAACTTGTACTATTGATTGAGAAAAATATAAAGTTTCTCATTGAAGATATTCTATCATTAGAATGAAATATTTGAAGTAGCATATTTTAGGAATAAGAGTATTACGTAATAATTCAATAATGACTACCGAACTATTTAAGTTCAATTTTCTTAATCAATAAGATCAACTCCAGTCCATTAAATATTCCTACCTGATGACGAGACTTGGATTCATCACGTTGACGGACAATGCTGTATATGAAGCAACGCCGAAAACCGGCATGTAGTACTTAACAAGACTGCATTTCGTTACTGGTCTCAAACCAAGCTTTTGCAGAACAGAACCGGTGTTAGAACCTCCTGCACCAGCCATTTTCTTCTCTATACAAATATGACGTAATTTCAATAAAGTTAAATATATTTGTTTCTTTTTGTACCAGTTCGTCTGTTTTAATGTACGTTCTTGTTACAAGAACTCGACTCAATAAATTCTATATAGAAAACGAACCTGAATACTGGAGAGTACTAAGAAAGCACAGTATGACGTCACACTCGTCGCTTTAGTTCTATGTGGTAAACTAAAAGAATCGAATGAGACCAGTTCAATCGGTAATCTTTTAACCTCTCTTATCAAAGAATAACATAAGAGCTCATAAGTCCTCTTTTCGCGTAACCACATTCATCTTAGTTTCTTACCTGATCACCAGTGGGCGATAGTAGGTACTTGGCGATGTCGGTACAATATTATCAAAGAATACTGTATTATTTACAGTTAATCAGGTAAGAAACTAAGATGAATGTGGTTACATTTATTATTAAATAAATAAAGAATTTGTGACTCTTTATTTATACTTCTGTATTCTTTGGTAATATCAAATTCGTTTACTGATATAAGCAATTTCAATATTGCTGAAATAATTGTTTGTTTACCATGTGGTATCGCGTACTGTATTACCGAACGCGTAAAATAGAAACTAATTAAGACGCTAATTTTCAAAGAAATTTTAATCACTGCATTTAAAATTTTGTTTTGAAAATATTTTACTTATAACACAAATTAGATTATTTGGATATTTAATTTAGTATAGAAGTAATTAAACAATTGAGAATTAATATAATCTACTGCAAGTACATGTATGGGCATACGTGCAAACATAAATACTTACATTATTCTTTATGATATTTATTTATATACTTTTCGAGCATACTTCATTTTTATTACTTTTTATCAATGATTATTATCATTTTAGATGATTGTCAATATATATATCATATATCATATATAAAT